TAGTCGGAATTCAACTGTAATAGGTGAGCAATAAATCAGAAGAGGGTTAAGTCCGGCTTGCAGTGGAAGTTCTTTGCTCAATAATTATCTAACACTGTCTTTTCACAGGCCATTAAATAGTTAATCTTCATTTCACAGTCCTGTTGTCCATTATCCCTAGATAACCAAGACTGAAGTAGTTCTATAAGTGACTAAACTTTCTTATCCTGCAGTTTGAAGACTGTTACTATGCTACTTATTTAGGCTCATGGATACCATGCGTAGTAAAAATGTTTTGCTATTATTAAGATTTATGTATATCTTTTTGGTCTTAAGTCAACTGTCATCTAAAAAATTAGAAACAATCATGGTGAATTCACTGGATGGAAAATAAAAGTGCAACAAGAAATAAACCATACTTAACATTCATAAATTTGAATACTAATTTCTTTTCTTAAAATGGTAGCGTGAGAAATACAGACATTACATCTACCATCTCTGTTCCTTCTGCACGAAAATGGAAACACGGAGCATACAAATACTTTCCCATGTTTAAAAGTTTATTATACCTAACACAATTTCAAAACGTTTTGAGAAAAAGAGTGACAATCTAACCGAACAATTTTTTACAATGTGTAATCAGAAAAAGAGAGAGTGAAAGACAGCAGGCACTACTGTGGCACAACTCTAAGAACAATTTAAGCATCTAAGCATAATTTTAAGAATGTAAGTATAATAATAATAAATTTAGTCAAAATAATTCTAAGTTAAGGATATAATTTTAAGAATGTAAGTACCAAAGTATACTCCCTCTGGTAAGTTAGTAAATTAACTAAATTAATTTACTTTACTTACTCTCTTACTCCTTAGTAAGAGAGTAAATTAAGACCATAGAAGTATCAAAATATATTTTCTCAAGTATAAGGCAAGACCATGTTTTAGGTGAGGAAGAGTTGTTTTTCAGAAACTCTGTCTAAAAATGTAAGAAGCAAGCACTAATCAAACAACAAAATTAAGAGCAAAGCCCCATTATTCACATTAGGCAAGCCCTATGTAACACTTTACCCTAGGCATACATATTGCAGAAAAAAAGGAATGACCTGAAAATAATACATTCAAAGTTGCAAATTAATAACCACGATTTTATTCTCTACTAAGATAATCACTATGAAACCCAGGTAGATAATCTCAATTATTTCCTCTATCAGTACTTTTAGAATCAATTAAATATAAAGAGCTACATGAGACCATAAAAGTCATTCGTCCATTCTAAACATCTGATTTTGCAAACTTAAAAATTATTTTCCCCAAGTTAGTAGAATGGCCAAAACTCTGACTCACAGTACACTGCTCTTCCCACTATAATGTGTTTCCAAGTGCCCAACCTTCCAATTTTGTCAAATCTTAAGACATCATTTTAAAAACACATTTCTCTTCGATAGCAGCTGTGATAGATAACAGTTCTGAAACTTCAAAAACCACAAGCAACTGCTATATCAAGAAGAAGGGACTATCGAGTTAGCCCAATACGTCAAGAAATAAAAAGAGCTTCCTTCAAAGAGGGAGCAATTCTTTAACAATGCTACAAACAGGACACCTTTTTCCCCTTTAAAAGAGTAATTACTCATTTTGATGGTTTCTGTTTAGTCTTTGGGGAACACAAGTTAATACTAATGCAAGCTGTCACAGCACAGCAAGCTCAGATGTCTCTACTCCATTCAGAAGTTAAAAGTACAGTTCTATTAGGGATGAAAGGATGTGGAAAGAGCTAGGCTCCAATTATTATCAGGAGGACTGTAAGCTGCTCACTCTCATTAATTTTTATTCCCATTTTACAAACCAATAAAAACTTAACCTGAAAACTGCTAACCATTCTGAACAATACAAACAGCACACAAATTTTAATAACTACCTCTTGAAAAAGCAGAATCCACTTGGAATACTCTAATATAAAGAATTTAGACTGGTGATGATTGTTACCAATTAACAAAAACATTAAGAAGACTTCTTTCCTACACCTCACTGAGCTCTGCACATGCTTAGTCATCATTTTTAGAGTTGCTAATGTGCACAAATAACTAAAAGAAAAATACGAACAAGTATTAAGGGTTACTGTTTCAATCATTAAAAAGGTGATCATTATTAAGTTCCATCTTTTTTCTATAAAATTCAAAAGATTAAAATGAGAAATCTATACTATTAACGTTGTGCTACATTAAAAAACCAGAAGTCCAACTGGGACTAATTCCAATGATTATACTCCATACATGAAGCCTGAAAAATGTCAGTTGTTACAAAAATTATTTTTTAAACCTTCCATCAAAAATAATTAGGGAAAAAAATTAGAAACCTGTGAACAGAAGCCTAAATAATGTGTTTAACAGAGAAACAATGTAGTTACATTGTGCAACTATAAAGCTTTATATTTCTTGACTCTGGCCGTTCCCCCTCAGACTTAGAATTTCACCTACAATATGAATCATAATGGCTACTCTTAAAAGACAATTTGAGAGCTTTTTTAAAATATTATTTTTTATTCTTTTTTAATTCAACCTTTTTCATATTATAGTGATCCACAGGCTATAAATGAATTGATTCTAATAAAATTTACATTAACTATTCCAGGTTTGTAAAAGGGACAGAGAGTAGCTCAAATGAAAGATCATCACTAAGATAAAGTCTTAAAGGCAGACATATGAAAAGCTTGAGACCTTTCCTACATCCCATGTTAGAATGCATACAAAATCTCAGAATGAGTAGAAGACACAAATATTAATTTTTATTTAATTATGGATGGGAGAAGTAGACAATAGTATATTGGTTAATACAGTTATCAGGTTGCTACGACATCATTCTTCCTTAAAAGAGCAATACAAAAAGACAAATTGAACTTGACAAAAATTCTATGTTGAAGCACGAAGCCTAGCCAACTCAAGTACTTATTCTTGAAGATTTTTTCTGTATGTGAGTAAAGGCAATAAGCTGTTAAAAGCTTAGCATCAAAACTTCCTCCAGACATTAAAGAGGCACTCCTACTAATAAGACTGCAAAAGAAAAGTACACGTTATAATTACAAGAAAGTGTCCTAACCAGGTAACTGCAAAAGGATCCTTAAACAGTATCTAATACAGTGCTTTGTGAAAGGAGGTTCACAAAATAAAGGACAGCGTTGCAATTTATGCACAGAATAGAGTTTAGTTTCTATATTTCTAAGTGAAAACACTTGATTAAAACAACTTTGAAAGAAAAAGGTAATAACTTCATCCACGTACAAAGAAACTTTATACCAGTTAATTGTATAAGTCATCTTCACTTCCAAATGGCATAAGCTTCTCTAGCATGTTACACTTACAACTTTAAGGCTATGTCACCAGAAAAAGTGGGTGGTCATCTTGAAAATGGCACCAACGCTCTACATTTTCAAACCTGACAGATTTCCGGACACAAGATCACGTATTGTATGATTCCATTTATATGAAATTTCCAGAACAGGCAAACCCATAGAGATAGTAAGTAGATTAGTAGTTGCCTGGAACTAACTGCAGGGAGGAGGAAATGGGAGTGACTGTTAATGGAGCACGGTTTCTTTCAGGGGTGATGAAAATATACTAAAATTATATAGTGGTGATGATTACACAAGTCTGTAAATTTACTAAACCATCAGACTGTATGCTTTCCAAGGGTGAATTTTATGGTATGTGAATTATATCTCAATAAAACAATTATTTAAACGTTAGATTTAGATTTTTTAAAAATCTGACAGAATTCATAATGTCAAGGTATATATACTACAATAGACATCAGTCAGAGCTTTGCACCTGTTCCAAATGACTTTTTTTTACCTTGGCAAGGCGGCTCATCTGATCTTCCGAGAGAGTGCTACTTGTTCTGCCAGGAGTTTTTGTGGGTTCTGATCCATCTGCTTCTACATTAGGCCAGACTTTCAAGTCATGCATCCCTTGGCGAAACATGCTAGGGAAAAAGACAATGTTCAGGATAGAAGTAAATTAATACAGTTCATTACAGGAAATTTTAGATTCCTAAAAATAAACAGAATTCTACACATGGAAATGTATATCTCCACTGCCAAGCTTTAAGCCCCCAGTGGAATGTAAAGCAATTAACCAAGCAACTAAAATCCATGTCACACTGCTTTGTACATGCCATTCTTTTTTCCTCCAAGCAGTCAGAACTATGACAGAGAATTCTACACATAGAGTGGAAGGAGAGAAGGATGAGAAATGAGCACACACATTTCATCACTTTGGTGAAGATCTAAGGAATAACAGAGATTAAACTTCTAACCAATTGAAGAATGTCACATTTACAATGACTAAAATCAAAATTTAAATAATTACATAACTTTTCTTTAAATGACATTACAGTAGACTATATAGTCAAACTGCCTTGAATCACAGCTGTGCTATTACCCACATAACCCTAGGGTAAACTACTTAAACCTCCCTGTACCTCAGTTTCCTCTTTTATAAAATAGGATAAAAGGACTTGTATCCCACAAGGTTGCTGGAAAAATTAAATAAATCAGTACAAGTAAAAAGTCATTAGAACAGTGACTGGCCTACGGTAAGTATTCAATAAATGTTAGCTATTACTAGTCTTTTTGCTGTACAAATTGATTTTTCTCCTTTCTTTTCCATAAAAGGCATGTTCTAAAAGTGAATACAATAGTAGACTCACACAAAAACATTTCCCATGTCTATAAATCAAAATTTAGCATATAGCCAGAATTCAGCCTAAGCTTGGTTATCCCGCTTCAAAGTGAAAGAATATATAACCTTTGTCCTGTTTTTGTCAAAAAGCTACCAAGAAGATATAAAGATGAAACGAACTCGTAAGAGCTTTAGACAGCTATGCGTTTTAATTACGCTGCTGCCAAGTTTCCATGCTTCTTTCCAATGGGGAGGTTAAAGATGTTCTTCTGTTAATGTGTTTTCTTTTTCAAAAAAATATTTCAGAACAAGAATTTTCAAACATAAAGTCTACTCAAACAGCATCTACTCAAAGCTCAATAAGTTGTTTCTTACTCTTAGAAATAAAAAGACTATAGAAATTGCAACAGAAAGAAAAAAGCTCTAAGTGTGTGTAGATGAACAGGCACATCTAAAGCATTTCATACACTTTCACATTTAATACTTTTTTAAAAAAACAAGGTACAGGCTGGGCACGGTGGCTCACACCTGTAATTTCAGCACCTTAAGAGGCTGAGGCAGGCAGACCACTTGAGCTCAAGTGTTTGAGACCAGCCTGGGCAACATGGCGAAACCCTGTCTTAAAAAAAAAAAAAAAAAAAAAAAAATTAAAATTAGCTGGGTGCAGTGGTACATGCCTGTAGTTTCTGGGGGGGCTGAGGCAGGAGAATTGCTTGAGCCTGGGAGGACGAGGCTATAGTGAACCATGTTTGCACCACTGTACCCCTGCCTGGGTGAGAAAGTGACACTCCATCTCCAAATTAAAAAATAAAATAAAATAAACTGTCTCCTTAACTGCTAGTGGTTCACATAAATTTTTTCAAATCATTATTATAATGTTCTGGCTAATAAAAAATTCCTTCATAGATTTTCCTAAGGTAATAAAGATTTTCACTAAACATTATATAATGTGTATAAGTAATGATGCCATAAACATTTAGATTGGGAACTATAAAAGACAGTTACAAACTCATGAGCACAATAAGATCAAAGACCGTATCTGTTAAAAGGTCCTAAAGTTGGCAATAAACCAGGTAATTCTAGTAACTGTATTTGCAAAAGCTTACCTTATGGGCCCATACAAAATGCATCAGCTGGCTGTGATGAATCAAAATTCTCAATATTTATTTATCATGTTAAACATCAAAAGAAAGTTACAGTACAAAAAACACACATATACACGCCTCTTATAAAGTTAATTTTCTTTCTCTTTCAACTGAGATACAGATTCAACATTAAGCAGTCCTGCTTAGAGCAGTCTCTAAGGAACTATGTACAGTGAGATAATATCACTTTAAATAAATATCCTTAAATGTACCTTCAGAAATAGCAGAAGGCTTCCCTTCCTTCTCTCTACCTTCCCAACCCCCAGTGAATACTTTGGCTGGCTGAACTTAACTGAATCAAAAATAAGCACATTTGGCAAGAAGTCAGTTTACTAAATGATTTAGGTGCCTTGGGATGGAGCTAGAGAAGAGATTTAAGGATAGGGGACGTGGAGGGTATGGGTGATGCCAAGTGACTCAAATGAGCAAGTGAACGTATTACTTTCTTTTGACACTAATGGAACTTTGCAGAGAGTTACACAGCCTCCAGGTGGCAAGGCAGAAGATGCTCAGAGCATCGTGTCCACTTGGGAAATTAAGCCAAACAGGCAAGACAGAAGAAACAGCACAGCAGGATCTCCTTCTGACTCCAGCAGAGGCCCCAGCAACAGCTGCTGTTGATATTCCAGCTTGCAGTGCCAAGCCACTACAGCACCAACTGCCTTGACTTCCAGGATTCACATTTAGAAAAAACAACTGCAAGAGAAATCCGCAGCTTGCATGTGGTTCTTTGCCAGTTCAACCTAACAATCAATCCATTCTTAAGCTACTTTGAAATTTCACAAGCTAGGCTTTCAAATTAAGGATGATACATTATTCTAGCCTTATCCCTAACAAATCAGTCTTTCAATTATTTATTAGACTATTCTCCAAGAAGTTCTGCCTCACACTGACTCACGTAAACAAAACAGATATTAGCAAACAGCAAGAGCTGATAGTCACAAGATTACCAATACTACAATACTAGATGTCTTGAGGATCAATTTAACAGTATTAAGTACACAAGAGAAGCCTTTAGGGGAAAAGGCGAGGGGCAGCTGGCGTTATTTCACTGCATAAGAAACATCTGAGGAAACTATGGTTTAAGGCAGCATTTCCCTAAGCTACGAGAATGGTAGTGGCACATGGCATGGTTTTTGAGGACAGGTGGAAGAAAATCTGCACATGCTTCCTGCTGAGACCACCCAGAGTATTCATATTGCCCTGTCTCCCTGGATGGCAGCACCATGCAGGGAAGTAGCTGTGAGCCAGCAGCACAAGGAGATGTCTGCACTCTGCTGTAGCACCAGGAACATCCTGAACATTATCTTTCACAAATCAAAGCTGCACAAGAAGACCTGTAGCTGCTGAGGACTAGGGAATGCCTGGCTTTTCTTCAACGCGAGGCAGCTCACCCGCAGGGCAAGGCTGCAGGGCAGAGAGGAAACAAAACAAAAAGCTGTTTTAATTTCATAGAGTTTCTTAGAATTCCTTCTTCTGAGGTGAAGGTCAGTACAAGCGCCAGCACAGGGGGAATACAAGTTGGTGATTTAGTCTTTTTTCACTCCACCCCCTCAAAATATCTTAGACCTGTATTAAAATCTTACGTTATGTTAGTTATGTTTGGATAACTGCCTACAACTATATAGAGGTTGAACTGATTAAAAATGAAAATGATGTAAAGCCTGATCTTCACCTTAAGCTGAGAGTGAGCTGAATATCCCGTGTATATCTGACTATGGAAAACAGAACCATTCTAATTAAAGGACCTTTTTTGAAGATACTGTATGCATATTTTGCAAATCAAATGAATTCCATATCATGTGTATTCACTAGGGATTCTTTTACTTCAATTTCTAAAATTTAATAGCATAGTTATTGTCATTATATTTAGTCTTACTATTACCCACTAATGTTAAATAATACCTGTTTTCCATGTACAACAGGGATATCATGTTTTTCTTTTAAAATAAGTGGAAGTTTAAAAAAAGTAAGTTGGGTTAAATAAAAATATCAAGAACAATAGGCCAGGTGCGGTGGCTCACGCTTGTAATTCCAGCACTTTGGGAGGGCGAGGCAGGCGGATCACCTGAGGTCAGGAGTTTAAGACCAGCCTGGCCAACATAGTGTAACCCTACCTCTACCAAAAATACAAAAATGAGCTGGGCGTGGTGGCAGGTGCCTGTAATCCCAGCTACTCAGGAGGCTGAAGAAGGAGAATCGCTTGAACCCAGGAGGCGGAGATTGCAGTGAGCTGAGATCGTACCACAGCAGGGCAACAGAGTGAGACTCCATCTCAAAAAAAAAGGATAATATACTTAGTAAAGAGATATGAATGGAATTCTAAAAGTGATAAGTAAATGACTCAAGTTGGAGAAATCAAGCTTTAAGTGAGATAATTTCACGCAATCAGTGCTTCTCTCTAACAGGTTTCATTCATATCGGGCATCTGATGTGTTCGCGACATGAAAGAGTAGGATGACCTATTTTCCAGTTAGAGTTAAGAGAAAACAGATGACTTTCCAAGATTCAAAGTCTTATTTTAGTTAATGGCAGAAAACAAATTTAAGTAACCACTCACTTATTGCTACTGCTCCCTTTATAGAAATCCTTGGGGTTTAATGACTTAAAGTAGAACAAGTGCTACTGATTTATCTTTTAAGCACGCTGGCAGCTTGGTTTGGATGGGAGGTAAAGGAATTTTCCTTTCACTGGGATATACACAGAATTACAAATAAAGTGGGCTCCAAGAGAAGGAGTAAAGAAGAGGAACACATGAATGTATGTATAAGTCATATTAATAAATTACTATCACAAAGGTCAGTTCAGTGCTTCTCAAAATGTGGTCCATAGGCTCCCTTTCACAGAATCACTCAGGAAGATTGTTTAAAACGCTGATTCTTGGGCCCTACCACAGACACAATGAGTTAGTGAGAACCCACGAAGATGCTTTTCTCACAGGCTTCCCAGATGATTCTTAAACACAGGTTGATTACTACTGATTTAGTGTAGTACCTTAAAAAAAAGTGCCAGAAGCCAAACAAAACAGTACCAAAAATCAATCTGAGAGTTTGTTTAGATGTAGGCAGGTCATTTCACTGCATCTGTGGACATTTCAATTGTCCCACAATTATATCCTACTCAGAAAATCCCCTGAAACTAGATCCTAAAGTCCTCTAAAATGCACGAGTACTAACAGGTGTTTTTATGAGAGAACTTCCTATTGATATTCCAGAAGGTAAACCACTTGTGATGAATCTGGGAGGAAAAACTAAGAGGAACGTCTAGTTATTTCTCAAAAACATTTCGCCACTAAAAAGAGCTGTACATTTTTCTTTTTCTTCTCTGTTGCAAACAAGCCCCTCCCTAGTAACAAAAAATAAGGGGTAAATATTCTGTAAAAGAAATAATACTGATTTAGTAATATGTCCATTCTGCTGTAACATGCTATTTTATCAAGAAGTATATTTTAAAACTGAAAGTTACAATGTTTCAGACTATATTGAAATTATTTTTCCTGTGCAGATTTTAATAACAAATATCTCTTTAATAGCCACATTAAACTAAAATACCTAGGTATTAGTAAGCAACCAAGCTATTCCAAATGGGATTACATCTAGATTTCATTGATGAGCTCAGAAGCCTTTCCGACACACTCTATTTCTGGATAGAAAAGTTTAATATTATAAAGGCATCAATTCTCTCTTTAATTAACATATATAATTCAGTAAGATTTTCTAACAAAATAACAGTGAGTTTAATTGAGAAAATAATATTAAAATTTATCTGCCAAAACAAACCTGGAAATATTTTAAAAGAAAGACTAATAAGAATTACCCCATCTAATATTTAAACATTTTATAATACTATCCTACTGACAGAATAGCCCAGGAATGATACCTAATATTTATTGAGGTCATTTTAATATGTATTCAATACATAAATATATGATATAATATTTATCAGGACCATTAAATGTATTTAGTAATGTAATAACCATAAACTACTTAAGGAGGGAGATATTATTGTTCTTTCATTTAACATATGAAGACATTGAGGCATAAGATTAAGTAATTTGCCCAAGGATACATAGATACTAAGCAAAGAAGCCAAGATTTGAAGCCAGATAATCTACAACTAGCTTTCCTAACCACTATAGCACTATACACTAAAATGCCTCTCTTAGACTTCAACACAAGATGAATTGAGTATATAAGGATGCTATTTTAAAATAGCTGGATAAGATGGCTTATTTAATAAGTAGTGAAGGGACAAATATTCAAACCATTTGTTTTGGTTTTCTCTAAAAAGCTATTCTCACTATATCATTCCTTTCACAATAGTAATTTTAGATAAATCAAAGATTTTAATGTAAAGGAATAAAAGCATAACAGAAGAAAGCATTTTAAAGAACCTTAAATGGGAACTTTCTAAAACATCAAATTCACAACCCAAAAACTAAAAACTGATAGCTTCAAGATAACAATTTAAAATCCATGAAGAGCAAACAAATACATACTAAGTCAAAAGAACAAGCCAAACCAGAACAGCAGTATTTGTAACATAACCCACAACGGGCTAATTTCATTCATCTACAAAGACTCCTTATATATCAATAAGAAAACGACAACTCAAAAAAAAGCAAAGAATTTTATGGTATGTGAATTATATCTGAATTTCTAAAAAGGACAAAGTACATCAAAAAGCAATTCATGGAAACATAAACACAAATAGTCAACAAACACTCCAAAATATGATCCTCCTCATCCTTAATGATGTAAAAATTAAATAACATTTTTTAACTTTAAAGTAGACAAAAATTAAGACATCTGTAATATCCAGACAGATTAAGATCTATACCATTTCACACTGAAAGGAACCAGAACTTCTTTCAGAGATTTCAGATCTGGAGCAGAAAATTATCAAATGATCCTGGAAAAACTTGTCTACCACAAAGCAAAGAAGCTACCAATCACTACTAGTGTACTGTCCAAAGGACATGGGGTCTACTTGAAGGAGCTCCTACTGACCAAAAATGGGATTTTTTGAGCATTATAAAGAGTAAAGACAGCAATGGACTGAAACATATAAAAAACAGAATGTACAAAAGCCATCAATCACCACCTTTACAAGTTACTAGGGCACAAACTCATTAGTCTTGAAATTGATAAAGGGAAAGAAAATTAAACATTCATCTGTCTTTCCTATATGAACTAACTAAATACTTGATGAAGGACCAAGTTCTTTAGTGAAAAATTCCAATTAGTAAATGCAGAATAATAATAGAAAGTCACAAATTCTCTAAAGATAGACTGAGTCCTCTGTCCCTGGAGAAAAAGGATATAGCGAAAATATCCTTTGGAACTGTGGGTTTTTTTTTTTTTTTTTTACAATAAACATTTAGTATTTGTACATGTTTCAAAAACTGAATTATCTTTTCTATCACAATCATTACCATCATTAGCAAATGAATGCTTTTTAATCCTGTTTTTCATCCTTTCTATCAATATTATAAAAAAGCAGATAAACCCTATAACAAAGCAGTTATAGTATACGTCAAAGTCACTTTTCCCTAAAAGCAAGGTTCTATTTCCCAATGACTTCTATTTTCTAGCAGAAATCACACTACCAATCACCAACAGTAGAGCAATATAAATTGATTTCTTTATCTATCTGTATATCCTGTAGGAAATACATGCTAAATTCAGTATAAGGAATGATCAAATCATATGTACCTAACTGGTTTACACTGGAGCCTGGGCATAAACTATTAAAGCCTTCCCTCATTCTGAAAAAGAAAAGGGTCAGAAAGCAGCTGCACTCCTACAGATGAGACCAACAGAATGCTTACCCGTATTTTCCAAAGAGCGAAACCGTTGTTCCTCCTACAGGCACTGCTTTTCCAGGTCCATACACATCCCATATGGTGAGCGCCACTTGGGCATTCCTGGGCAGGTCAGGGTATTTTACTGGTAGTTTCAGCCATTCGTTCCAGCTATGGAAGTAAAGTTAACATAAATCAGATATATATGCGTGTGTGTGTATATATGTGTGTATATATGTATGTAGATGAATAAACATGTGTGTATATATGTATGTAGATAAACCCTCTAGATATTTATGTAAATTTTCTTATACATTTAAACCTCATACTGTATTTGATAATTTCAACCCTCTTCAAGAGAAGCTGGCTTTTAAATTCCAAAAGAATACTGTGCCAACATTATACAAACTATTCCCTAGCAGACACATAGAATTCTATTTCTGTTTACTCAAAATTATTCTGTTCATTCAAAGTTATTATCTAAGGGACATATCTTAGTCTATGTTAAATACATCTGTATTGATAAAACATTTAACAAAATTTCCAAAAACTTAAACAACAAATCATTTATATATGCCATATAAATTAGGGATGGCTATCAATTTCAAGAAAAAGAGTTATTAAATCCTTTTCTTCTACGAAATACTTTTTTTAAAAAATCACAAGCTTAAGAAAGCCAGTATCTACTATAGATAGGCTCAAACAACTAAATGAAATTATTTAATTACTAGCCACACGGTAGGGCAGGCTAAAAAGAAAAACACTAAGCAGTGCCATCTTTTGCCAATGAATAAACCACACACCAGCTAAAGTCAAAGACAACAATAAGCAATTTCTTTTTGGAAAATATTGTGATATTTCTTATTCTGTCCTTTAATGACAACGAGACAATACCAATGACCAACTAATCATATGTCTCAAAACTTTTCCTATTCAACACCAGGCAACAACACCTCTTTCAATCAAAGCAACTGCACTTAATCTGTTTTTATATACTAGCCTTCTGCAGAAGAGTTTTGAAAAAAAGAAAAAAATGATGCTATTTTGGAAGGCCGAGGTGGGCAGATCACTTGAAGTCAGGAGTTCGAGACCAGCTTGGCCAACATGGTGAAACCCCGTCTGTACTAAAAATACAAAAAAAAATTAGCCAGGCGTGTTGGTGCGCCTGTAGTCCCAGCTACTTGGGAGGCTGAGGCAGGAGAATCGCTTGAACCCAGGGGGCAGAGATTGCAGTGAGCCAAGATCATGCCACTGCACTCCAGCCTGGCGACAGAGTGAGACTCCATGTCAAAAAAAAAAATATCCTTCAGCTAAAAACTTTGAAAACTGCTCCAGATATTCGAGAAGTTATAGAAAAATCTAGTCAGACACCAAAAAGGTGTATATTTTGGACACCACTTTGTTTTCTTCCTCTTCATGCATCATCCCTATCACATCTGCTAACCCTCATTAACCTTAAGATTACATTCACCTGGCAACAATTAAAACATCACAAGATTGCAAAGCCTAAATCTGGATGGTCCAATCCCCACCAAGTACCTCCATCACCGCATACCACTGTGCTAGCACTCGAATCTGATTAAAATACTTCTGTATCCTAACTTTGCAATTTTTGAATTAGATGGTATTAATATGTCTCTCTACAGCCATTTTCAAAACCTTTATGAGACAATGTGAAATATAAGTGTTCTTAAAAATGTAAACTACTTCCCTGAAGAATAATATTCACATAAGAAAAACTTAGAAATGTGCAGTACATACACCTAAAGATGAGAATTTACCTTAAGTGTAATTAAAGAAAGTACAAGTGTCCCTCATGGGATCTGTTAGTGTAGGACAAAACAGGACATGATATGATAGACTTGAATACATTTTGAATGAGTTCCTCATTATTAGAACTCTCACAACCCACTATCAGAAAGTCAGAAATCAAACAGATTTAAAATCTCATACTGGCCCTAAAACACAATCTGAACTAAGGAATGCAAAAATTTGGACAGCAAGAGATCCCTTTATGACCTAATTTATTCTTTCCAAGGTTTATACAGTATCTCTTTTAAGCAAATACTTACAAAGAATAAGGACTATTTAAAGTTTTTACCTCCATTCATTTTAGGATGGCAATTTTTGTTTTGATGAACTACCAATAAATTCAACTTTTGAACACTAAAGAGCAGGATGTATAAAATGTGCAAATGTTTTCTCCTAGTCTTCTAAAGACTATTTTTTTTTACTTTATTTTATTTTATTTTTATTTTTGAGACAGAGCCTCGCTCCGTTGCCCAAGCTGGAGTATAGTTGCTCAATCTCGGCTCACTGCAACCTCTGCCTCCTGGGTTCCAGCGATTCTCCTGCCTCAGCCTCCCAAGTAGCTGGGATTACAGGTGCCTACCACCATGCCCAGCTAATTTTTGTATTTTTAGTAGAGAGGGGGTTTTACCACGTTGGCCAGGCTGGTCTTGAACACCTGACCTCAGGTGATCCACCCAGACAGTATTTTTTTTAAAAGTCTATTCTCATGCTATTTTACCAAAAATAAGGTGTTTTTCTAAATCTATTGTCTACATAGCTTAGACATTTTAATTTCAAAGTAGTTTTAAATAATTTTAAGTACTTTCCTTATTAAGTACTTTCACAATTTAAAAATTACAAATTTTTAAAATTCAAACTTTTAGAGATCAAACATGGGAGTTTTCACATTCTTGCAAATATATAATATAAAAATTAATGCAGAGAAGACTTGGCAAATGGGAAGAGGAGGAGAAAATCTTTTATCTTTTAATTGAGAATTTGTTTTTGCTGTAATCTCCTTTTTTGTCAAGTCATGCAACAAAACCCACCATACATTTTTCCTCACCAAAATATTTTTGACTTTCTAGACCTAAATTTGTTTTAACTCTTTTGTGAGTAATAAGTGACCTCAAAAATCTAATTAAAGCTTTGAGCTCTGTCCTTGAAAAAATACAGAAGAAACAAAATTCTGCATACACCTTCAGGGGTTTGAAGACTTTCTGATTCCAGTTTAAGAATCTCTGATACAATTAAGGAATTCGGCTCCATTGTTTTAAATGTGATGATGATGGTACTATAGTTATGCTTTAAAAACAGATATACAGAAATACTTACAGTTAAGTTGTTATAACGTTTGAGATTTGTTTCAAAATGGTGAGAATACAAGATTGGCCATGAGTTAACACTAGGTATATAATAGAAACGTAGGCGTTCACTGTATTATTCTATGTTCATAGGTTTAAAATTTTCCAGAATAAGAAGTATTAAGTATATAGAGACATATTTTTTACGTGTGTGTGTGTATCTACATACACACATATCTCTCTCTATATATATATACACACACAGATATATCAGATATATATAGAAATACAGATGGACTAGATAGGCAGACAGATCTCTCTCCACAAAAGACTACTGAAGAAACTACACCATTAAAATATTTGGTTTTGACACAGCCAGATCACCAGAGTTCAGGTTTCTGCTCTCTGAAAACCCTTTCCAGCCACACTTGGTGACACCTGGGACACACAGGGTTGAACCCTCTATGGCACAGTCTGGCTGTCCATGTGGTCGCATCCTGTCTCCCAAGGAATACGCTTTCCTTAAAAGCATACAGCCTGTGTATCCTGCACTGAGCCTACCAGAGTGCTGAATAACACTCACTCATTAAACATCAGAACTGCACTATATAGTCTATCAAATAAGAAGTGTCAAGAAGTCATATTAAAGATCCACAATACTCTTCTGAAAAACAGGAACTTCATGTTCATCATATTTACCCTGCATCTTGACAATGTTTTGCTAATGTACCACGCTGAATAAACCATGAATCTAAATAAACTAGTTTCATATGTATAATAATAATAAAAATTTTAACTGAACAGATGGCAACAGAGTTATCTCTAAAGATCTGAGCTCCAAACATCAGGTTGGACAATATTTCAGACTATCCAGAAGTATTTATGCGTTCAAGAGCACAAGATGGTAAAATGCCACAGATGTGTTTGGTCATGTAAATCAATCAAGTGCTTATCAAAATGTCGATATGCTAAATACAAACATAAATCCATTTCCATTTCAACTGCAGTTATAATAGTGATATGCATAGTACTTTATCTGAGTATGTTTCTACTTCAAATGATTTGATCAATGCCTATAGGTATTAAGAAATTCTTCTATAATTCTACTAAATTATACTGGCAGCATCCATAAAGAAAGGTAAGAACAGTCTGGAACATACCATAAGCCAGAAAAAAACTTACTTCCATCTTGTACTAAATGCTTTGTAGGATGTTCTCACTGGCAAGGCCAAAGGCTTCCCTTCTGCAAAAACCTGACAAGTAACATAAAGATCCGAGCATGTCTCTTGGTATAGTCCTGAAAACTTCAACATTGGGTCTTCTAGGACAGCTTTATAACTCTTCTGTTCTCTCTTCCCTTCCAAGCTTCCTCTGAAAGCACAAGAGCAACAATGTTTTAGACCTGAATTTTTTAAACATGTACATATATGCATAAGAACTAAGCATGTACATATATGCTTTAAGCATGTATACATATGCATAAGTATAAAAAGAGTTTACCTTTGTGTTAAGGTATGCTACTTAAACAACATTTTCCTGTATATGCAATTAATGTCATTTTAATATATGGTAAGGGTTTCTTAAAATCCTAACATACCTAATATCAGTCCTATCTTCATCAACACATTTCTCTATTTTATACTTCTGAATTTTAAACCCTGCCACCAACCCTTGATCTACCCTCCAGAAGTCACCAGCTTTCTAGACCTTGGTTTCATTTTCTTCATTTCAAGTTGACCAAATATTCATCTGTTCTTTCAGGAAACGTTTACTATCGTGGGCATAGAAGTCCAGAAGAAAGAAAAGATAAACAATACAGTATTACAATAAAATATTAAGTCATTGCTTCTGGGGAGAAAAATTTACTTTTAACTGCATGTTTTTATTCTACTCTTTCCTTTTTTTTTTTTTTTTTTTTACTATGCATATGCACTGTCTGATCATTTCTTTAAAAAATAGTGGTATAAGTCATAAAAGATATGCATAGGATACTATCAGAGGGAGGAACATTTTTTAGACATCAAGATTACATCAGATACTGTGCCAGGAATTTTATATTTTCTTTCTTACATAATTTTCACCATATTCTCATTTTATAAATGAGGAAACAGAGACTTATAAACTACTCATTATCCAAAGTCACAAAGTAACAGAGCTGAGAATAAACACTAGGGCAGGGAAGCCAAAGCCAATATTCTTCCCATTACAGCGAAATAAATCAGAGTCTCAAGAGTACTTAGGCTGGCGTGGGGAAGGGACTTAGTACCCCAGATAGATGTCTGAAATGATCCTGAACAATGCATGACAGTTGGAGCAAAAGATGCAGAACGTCATCTCAAAGGGAAAGGCGACAGAGTGAGACCCTGTCTCAAAAAAAAAAAAAAAAAAGGACTGACTTTTTGGTTTTATTTTTAATGTTCAAACATTTCAAAAAATGCATTCGTATATCCAAGAAATAGTGAACATCAAGCTGAAGGAAAGCCCTTTATCAATACTGATCCTGTATAAACTACTAGTGGTGTATGCTATGGAAAATACCTTAAATGGGTGTATAAAGTAGCATACAAAGGTACAACGTGGTTGTTGACATATTACTTTTACCACCACCACCACAAACTAAAAAGTAAAGGATTTGTCAGCGAATAAGGGACTTCTGAAAATAAAATGAAACGATCATTCAAAGGTACATCTGACAACTGAGAAAATTTATTTATCACTTACTGCAGGCCTTTGACCAACACATATTTGTTGAATATTAACTGAACATACACAAGAAATGTTTATTAATTATGGATGATGCTGTGGTCAATAATTTGTGACAGCTTTGACAACACTTCTATATGACCACCTTAAAAGAGACGTAATTTCCAACTCTGTCTTGTCCGTCCCTCGTCATTATACCAGTTCCATTATCCTCATCTCAAGATATCACGCTCCTGACCTTTACTTCAGCCGCGGTGCCCCCAAAGTTTTCCTGCAATGACTCTTTCCTCCTATCTTCTTGGTACCCTTGCAACTGGCACCCTCATCTTTGACTTATTCCCAACTTCCCTGACTAAATACTGCCATAATACCCAAAGATTCACCCTAGGCCTCTATCACTTCCCGTGCTGCTAATATACCATGTGCTCATCTTATTCTCGACTATCGCATCTGATTGTGCCTACCTCTCCATAATTTCTGAAGCCTTCATTCCACCCTACAAGCCCCGTTCCAAAATAAAGACCGTCCTCTTACTTACGAAGAGGCTCGATTTCTTAATTTACAATAAAATAGTAATAAACTCTCAAAAGGCTGAACAGCAAAAACTTTAAAGACTGTAAAATACAGTGGAACTTAAGGGCTATTCCTACTGCTGTGCTTCTCAGAGACCACGTATTAAATCCTTTTCCAACAGAGCCCCTCTCCACGATCCACTCTCGCGCCTCCCCGGCTACAGCCCTCCCAGCCGTCCCCAGTCCGCGCCTTGAGACGAGTCACATACTTTCTCCCTCTCACTCCCAACAAGCCCCTACCCCCACGCCCCTACGCCCCAGCAATCCCACTCCCTGTCCCGAGGATACTCTTACATCTTAAGCTGGACGTTGATATCCAGGTCACAACTGTAGATGTAGTGAAACTTCTCTGCTTCCCCCATCGCAACGTCGGCGAGGGTACGACCTATAGCGGAAAAAGCACAGGAAAGACAACAGAAATGAACCAGCTGAGTCCCACAACAGAGGAACTTCCGGTTCCGCCCTCGCCAGCACGCCTCCAATCCCAGCCTGGAGCGAGTTCCGACGCGGCGGAACTCCCGGCCGAAACAACTCTTCTGCGCATGTGCGCAAGGCGCCCACCATCTTACTTAAGGGTAAATGTATACGGGAAACGGCTTATCCGATTACATTCCAGTTTTCCTGTCTTGACAGCACTTTTTTTTTTTAAAGAAAAAGAGACGCTATCATTTGAGCTTGAGCTGTACCTAAAACAATACAAAAGAAAATTCAATTCAAAAAGAATTACAACAGCTTTCACTGGCGGCCGTCTAAACAGGTTACAAGCACAGAAATTGGAATTTTGCCAAGTTTAAATTCCAGTGGCCTTCCCCAAAATTGTAGCACTAATTTGCTATCGCAAGCAAGGATTTTCTCTTTCTGCTCTAAACAATAGGGAAAGGACTAAATAGAGAACAAATAAATCTGAGTTTCATGTTTGGTGTTGTCAATATTGATGCTACTTTGGACGTAATACTTGCATGCATGTTTAAACTGGGAATATTCAAACTCAATGTAGTTTCAAGCCCTAACCCAAGTCAGAACCTAGAGGCTTCCTGTAATAACTCTAGAACACAGATCTCTAAACCCTGTGAGCTCCTATAATGTTTATTTTTATAATTATTATAATCTAAAATTGTAATATTCACTTCCAATTAGATTGAAAACTCTTGGAAGGTAAGACTAGTGTGCCATTTACTTCTGTGTCTTGCCCCCCTCACTGTCTAATACATTGCTGAGTTTAATACTTCCTACTTATTGGTTATTACTGATGATATTGAATGAAAGTCTCCATTTTCTATGCCTTTATTTCTTTTTTCTTTCTTTCTTTCTTTTTTTTTTTTTTTCTTTTTGAGATGGAGTTTTGCTATTGTCGCCCAGGCTGGCTCGATTTCAGCAAACTGCAACCTCCACCTCCCGGGTTCAAGTGATTCTCCTGCATCAGCCTTCCAAGTAGCTGGGATTACAGGCACCCGCCAGCCAGTCCGGCTAATTTTTGTATTTTTAGTAGAAACGAGTTTTCACCTTGTTGGCCAGTCTAGTCTCAAACTCCTGATCTCCGATGATCTGCCTGCCTCGACCTCCCAAATTGCTGTCTATGTGTTTATTTCTAAGTGCTGCATTTTAAGACGGATATCACTAGAGTATGTGCAAATTAGCGTAATTAGAATGTTGAAAGATTAGAAAAAAAAATATTTCAAAGAAAGGGTGAAAGGTGTGGAGCTGTTTAACCTGGAAAGGGGAAAAAAATACCTAATGCACAATGTTTTACACAAAATAAGTTCTCAAAAATATTTATGGAAGCAAGAAAAGGATTTGAGTAGAATAAAGAAAAACATGATAGTCATCCTCCTGTAACTTAAAGTTTGAACAAAAAGAGAGCACCTTTGATTTGTTCCTAAGAATAACTGCCACCAATGGTTGGAACTTACAGGAAACGTAATTTCAACAAACAATACAAATTGAACTTTCTAATTATCAGAGCCATTCAACAGTAACACTGTTGTCACAAGTGCTCTGTTTAGGGCATAACTCCAGCAATGAGTGTGAGATTTGATGTGAAACCTCAATCTTGAATAAAATATTGACTATGTGTAAAGGACTAAATTATCTGATCCCAGTGGTGAATAAATTACTTTCACTATATAATGGTATTTAATGTATAAACCTAAGATAATATTATATACATATGCAACCAAACAAGTTTACAAATATAAAAACTTCAAATTAGCAATCTTAACATAATAGATAGTGGGCTTTTTACAGAAACTTTATTGCTTGTAAAATGATTATGGAATATAGTGTTGACTACTCTTACAGGACTGATTCTTTGAAATTCAGCACATCTATACTGCTGTATTCCACATGATAATTCATTTTTCTAGTCCCTTTTTTCTATTCAAATAACTATGAACTCTTCTTTTGCATAACCACCATGATGTATTCTGGCTTTATCTGGGCTACAACACATCTTTTTAAGCCTGACTTTGTCCTTTTCTCATTGTCTCATAACAAAGTAATACTGATTGTTTCCAAAACGGTTGCAAACACAACACAGATAAAAGCACGAAAATCAAATGTCAGTACTTATTTACAAGATACTCATTCACAGAACCCAAGACAGATTTAACTTTTTAAAGATTATCAAGAGAAAAAAATAACATTAAAAATGTATTATGGAGGGATCTCAGAAAACTTGACTGTAATTGTATTAAATATGTTAATACATCAGGGAAAACTAATGTGCCAATAAGGAACAAGATTTGGTAAGTCATGGAAGCATGGAAAGAGTTATTATAGAAACCAAAACTGTCAATGCCTTTTGTACCATAAGTCAGAGAAGTGTTGGTTGGTAGATGTGAGTACCAGAATTCAATTAACAAGGCCATCTGTATAAGAGAAAAGGAAGCCTTAGGCAGCTTATTTTGAAAGGAGAGGAATGATTTTTTTCCTTCCCATGTGATTTTCACAAATCGTAAATATAACATACACTTATAATTATGGGATACAATTTGCATTGCAAGAGTCCACGGAGGCCTGTCTGCAGAAAAATAACTTATAGAAATAGTTGTTTTCCTGGTGTGGTAGGCTATTCCAATGATTATTATGTGATCCCATATTTAATTTTCCTTTGGAGTTGCAGTTTTGGCTTTGTGCTTCTTTTGCCATCTTGTTTTAATTTCTGTTTTAATTATTCTAGTAACCAGTTTTAATGATGGCTTAGAAATGTGTTGATTGCGCTCCATTTGTTAAATTTTGTCCTTCTTTCTCTCTTTCTTTTTCTTTCTCTTTCTTTCTTTCTTTCTTTCTTTTCTTTTCTTTTCTTTCTTTCTTTCTCTTGAATCAAAGTTTTGCTCTGTTGCCCAGGCTGGAGTGCAGTGGTGCAATCACAGCTTACTGCAACCTCAACCTCCTGGGCTCAAGCAATCCTCCCACCTTAGCCTCCTGAACAGCTGGGATTACAGGTATGCACCACCGTGCCTGACTACTTTTTTAATTTTTTTGTAGAGATAGGGTCTAACTATGCTGCCCAGGCTGATCTCGAATTCCTGGGCCCAAGCATTCCTCCCTCCTCAACCTCCCAAAATTTTAGTATTACAGATGTGAGCCACCATGCCCAACTTCCATTTCTTCAGTTGCCCAGGACTGACATAATGATAATTAGGTTTATTTTTGCCAGTTTCTATGACCCAATTTATTCTCTTTGCTTGGAATTTTTTTTAATGCACTTACAGCTTTACAAAGCAATCGTCTATTACTGAGCTCCCATCAAGAATAAATTAGTATGATACTGTGAGATTAAATATATCTCATAATTCCTTTTTTTCTAATTAAAAAACGCCTTTGTAAGTTTTCTAATAACTGTGTTTTAGAACTCAATCACGTGATAGAACAGACAAGAGTGCTAAGGCACTTGAAAAATCCTAACTCATAATTCAAAAGTCTTGGCCATGTCTCAGCTGACAATGTGAAAAAAGACGGGCTTAATGAATATCCATGAATGATCCTAATGCAGGAACCCCCAAGTCCTAGGCGGGGGGTCCATTCATAAAGGTAATTCATATAGCTGCAAAAGGGAAAGAATAACAGCGTAAGTTATTCTGAAAAATAATAAAATTGTATTTGCATATGTGTTCCTTTGTAATACCTCTGTTATATAACAACGAAGCTCCCCAGTCTTGGGCATTTCTTTATAGCAGTGTGGAAATGGACTAATAATCTGAGTTTCTTATTGTGTAAGCAATAATTATGTTTACAAATTAAGCCACTTTCATTTTTAAAAAATCTTTCTGTTACATACAGCTGAAAGCATATAATTCCTAATACGATGTTAAAAGGCTTTTCATGTTCTGGCTCATGTGGCATTGTTCAAGCTCTCTAGACTTAGTTTAATCTGAATAATATCCTCTCTCTTATGCTATATTCAGATTGTGTCTCTATATTCACCTATGGTGGTATAGTTGATTCTTATTCCTTGTGGTAGATATATTCTGTAAAGTCACAGTAAATACTAAATTAGCAAATACTGAACTGCTGCTAGGGGGATATAGGATTATGTTCCTGCCAGTCTCTGCCAATAACATTTTCATTAAATAATAAATACATAAAGTTGTTTTCTTTGTCTTCATCTAAAGGCATTTTATTTAATATATATTGGTGATTTATTAACATTGAACTCATGCCCAACAGCACCATAACTCATGCGTGAATGAAGCCTGTATAACACAGTTTTTCTCCATAAGGCACATCACAGCTTCCTTGCACTTAGGAACACCAGAGAGCACTTCTATCACTGCATTTAGAGGGTGTTTTAAATGAAATCATCCACGAAAAGCATAGAAATGCAATATATATGGCTGGGCACAGTGGCTCACACCTGTAATCACAACACTTTGGGAGGCCAAGGCGGGCGGATCATGAGGTCAGGAGATCGAGACGATCCTGGCTAACAACATGAAACCCCGTCTCTACTAAAAATACAAAAAATTAGCCGGACATGGTGGAGGGCGCCTGTAGTCCCAGCTACTCGGGAGGTTAAGGCAGGAGAATGGCGTGAACTCTGGAGGCAGAGCTTGCAGTGAGCTGAGATTACACAACTGCACTCCAGCCTGGGTGGCAGAGTAAGACTCCGTCTCAAAAAAATAAAAAAAAAAGAAAAAAAGAAATGCAAATATATAGCATTGAATAAACCTCCCGAAATATACTTATTTATAGTATGAGAGCTGAAACAAGAAGGCAGAATCTTACCTTGTTTGACCTCAGCCGGAAACATGCACATCAGACTTAAATTTTTCGCTCTGCCTCTGTGCACATGTCCACAAATGGCCGCAAGTGTTGATTTTGGGGTCACAAATAGATTTTAGTGAACAGTTGAATTCACAATTATGGAATCTGTGAATACTGAGAATCGACTACATTTATTCTTAGAGAGAAATGAAGAGCTCTCTAGACCAGTGTGCTTATGATTCA